CACGGTGGGGAGGGGATGGATTGCCTGGCGAAGTCGTTCTCAACGCCCTCCCGCCTGCTCTTAGAGCAGTGCACCCCTGAATCGATACGATTATATATACACACAAGAACAATCTCTCTGGCTCAATGCGCACGGGTGCCTCATGCCTCGAATCTGAAAGTGCCATTTCATAATCACCTTGTCAACGAAGCCTGAAGGAGGCTGCGTGATGATCCTGACGTCAGCCAGCTAACACCAGCGTTCGGGCGGCAGGTGTTGCCTGACCTCGATCACGCAGCACATCAGCACATTGAACCTGCTCTCCCGATGCACCACGGGCTTGCCATTCGCCACGAAAAGGCCCTGTCGCAACGAGCTCGTGGTCATCGTCCATGTTGCACTCGTGCGCGCAGCCCCCCGCCATGCGCCAGGAGAGCACATTGAACCTGCTCTCCCGATGCACCACGGGCCTGCCATGCACCACGAAGAGGCCCTGCCGCAACGAGCTCGTGGCCGTCGTCCATGTTGCACTCGTGCGCGCAGGCCCCCGGCCAGGCGCCAGGAGAGCCGTGCCCTGCCCGCCGACAGGCTCAGCGCCGCCGTTCTTGAACCAGCGGTGCACCTACAGTGCCTTGGCATCGCTCGGACGTGTGCATTTTTCCTTTGTCGAGGACCATCGAGGAGCATCTTTTATCATTTGGCGAAAAAGCCACGCACGGAACCGAAAAAACACAGGGAATGGATGTCCGAGTGATGGCCAGGTGCCGTGTTTAATGCATGCTCCGCGTGCGGATCATGTATTAAAAAGGCAGGGATTTAGCACTAACAACAAAGATGAGTTCACGCATGAATTTATTACATTAATCATGTATGAGAAATCCTATATTTTGAAAAATCAGATTATTAAAAACGGCCCTGTGATTTACGAGCTCACGAGTCGTTCGGATGTTGTCAGCCTCTTTGTGCTCGGCTCCGCGCTTCTGCGTCTGGCCAGCAGTTCCGTCGGCGGGATCCGCGTGCTCGGCATGGAGGTCTTCGTCCAAGCAGTTGTGGTTTGCCAACGGGTCCTCTTTCTTCACAGCTCGAGTACGAGATCCCAATTTGTCAATAATCTCAGGTCTGTGGGATTTGTCGTGGCAACTCTTCGTTTCCAAGCTCGGGCATATTTGCTGACTGCTCCTTGCCTTGCAGTTAGAGGGCACGCGGCCGCTGAATGTGAAGACGCACTCATGGCGGTTCTCACAGGACCGCTTGGGCTTCCCAATCCCACGTTCGTTCAAGGTCGCCTCATCGTTGAAGCTCACGGCGTATCTTCGTGTCACAGGCCCTCCGCCTGGCCCGGGCGCGCCTCGTCTCCTCTTGGGCCGTCAACGCCACCAGGCGCCGAGAATTCAAAAGCTTTGCCCCCCGGCAGCGCGGTGCGCGCGGTTGTTCGCGGCCTGTTGGTTCCCAGGTGAGGTGGATTCAAGTGTTGTTTCACAGGCCGCGATCTGACTCTTCTCCTTGAGGCCCAGCTTTTCTCCCGCCCTCACTCTGGCGTCGCAGGCTTGAAGGAGGGCCTGAGTCCCAGCTTCGAACTCCAAGGACAAGTGAGCTGTCCACGAGACGCCCGTGCGAGCGCTCATTGTCCAGACACGCCTTCACGCCCGCGTGCACCTTAGTTAAGGAAGTCAGTTTTTCGGCCACCTTCTTTGGCCCCCTTCCCCGTTCTGGCCCTCGCCATCCCGTTCTCCTTCACCCCGCGGCCTGACATCAGTGGCGAGGCGCGACTCCCAGCTCCCAGCTCCCAGCTCCCACCTCAGCTCTGTCGAGGGCCTCCTTCCACGTGGCACGGCGCTTCCGGGTGCCCCTCGCCCGCTTCATGCCCCTGCCAGTGCAGTCCTTGATCGCTCTCAGTACCTGTTCCGCGTCTTGCACCCCTTTTCAGCACCTTTCGGGCGAAGAGAACTATGCTCATGCACCGGTCCTGGCCAGGCCCATCCTCGGCCCCAGGATCGGTGCATGTGCCTTCCTGGCCAAGGCAGGAGGGCGCGTGCACCGATCCTGGGCTGAGGATGGACCTGGCCAGGATCGGCGTATGTGCATGGTTTTTTTTTTCCTCAAGCCTTCGCAGTCGTGAGCGCACAGGACATGCTTCGCGCGATGCCCAGCCTCACGGCGCGTGCCCTTCACTCGGGCCGGACGAAAGGGGGGGATTGGGAAAGGGGGGGTTACGAAATCTGCTGCATGCAGCTGGTGTCGGCCTCACCGATGGGGCCCACTCCTCGACACATGGCCGCCTCCGGCGCAGGGGCAAATGAGCCACGTGAGCTGCTTCTCACCCCCCCTTCTTGTGCTATCCCCCCCTTTCGCCCGACCCGATTCGCGCACAGCGTCGCTGCCTCCCGGCGCGCCACTCGAGCGCGTGCGCGCTCGCGCAGCGGCGCCGCCGCGGCGGGCTCCCGCGGCTGCGCGGGCCTGCCGCCCCCCCCCGCGCAAAGCCGCACCCGCCCAGAGAGGCGGCGGGCTCTCGGCCAGAGCCCGCCGGCTGGCCTCGGGCGTCCTTGGCGGCGCCTCGAGCCGTGAATCGGGGGCCGGGCGAAAGGGGGGGAGGGGGAAGGGGGGGGTTACGAAATCTGCTGCGTGCAGCTGGTTTCGGCCTCACCGAGGGGCCCATTCCTCAAGACATGGCCGCCTCCGGCGCCAGGAGGCGCCGGGAAAATCAGCTACGTGAGTTGATTCTCAAACCCCCCCTTTTGCTATCCCCCCCTTTCGCCCGACCCGAGAATCGGGGGTGGATAGACTTCTCACCCTGACACGTCGATTCGTGAATTGGCCGTTTTCGGCTCGCGGCAGGGCGTCGCGGCCGTCATCTTTGCGGGTCCAGGTCCGGCGGGTTCGGTCCCAGGCCGTTTTCACTAGGGGGGGTTTACCAAAGGGGGGTTTGTCCACCGCCGAGTGAGACAATCACGACGGGAGGCTTTTCCTAAGTTTCGGCCTCTGGGGGCCCTCGCCGGGCATCGGGGCCGTCAAAGAGCGGCTTCGGGACGAGCAAGCGGTCCTGGGAAGTGGGTCGAGGCCTCGTGGGGGTCGACGTCATGGAAAAATCAGGACGTCGGGAGTCTGGGGGGCTCCTCGCTCATCTGCGACGTCTCACCACCCTCTCTGTCGCGTCCATCACAGGAAAAGCCTCCGCGCTCATTGCAAGTCGATCTGGCCCTAGCCCAGTACCTTGCAGACGTGGTTTTCCAGCTCTTTGATGCGCTGAGCAGCTGTGTGTTCACCGAGCTCTGGCTCATCTCGCGCGTGCTCCCAGCCTCCAAGACCTTCTCTTAGAAGCCAGGGCGAGGATACGCTCGCGCGAAGATAGATCGGGAATCTCTGAGGCCCGGCGGGTCTGGAGAATGTTTCGGGCACCGCGGTCGTCTCATTGGGGGCGCCCGACATGCGAGCGGAAAAAATAAACCTGACGACAAATGTGGTCCCAAGCAAACAGCGGCCGCAGTTGGGCAGGATGCTTCCTGTCTCAAGGTGGCGCAGCCCGCGGCTACGCCGACAGCAGATCCTGCTCGTGCGGTTCTGGAGGATGTCTCGGGCACCGCGGCCGTCTCGTCGGGGGCGCCCGACATGGGTGCGTATATAATGAGCCCAACGACAACAGCAGTCACAAACCAAAAGCGGCCGCACTTAGGCAGGCGGCCTCCTGTCTCAAATGAGCGCAGCCCGCGGCGACGCCGACAGCGAATCCTGTGCAAATGATCAGAGATCATTGCTGGTCTTTGTGTTCATTTCTTGAATAGGTACTGCTTGCCCCGATCCTCGCCCTGTCCGTTCAGCACCTCAGCCCGCGCCCGAGGCAGCGGGGGCCGCCCAGGGCGGCGACTCGCTACCTCGGGTACGGGCCTGCCGAAGAGGTCCAGCTGCCTGCTCAGCTTTAACCGCTTGGCCTCAGGGCCGCCGTCGCCGCCGTCGTCGTCGCCGTCGTCGTCGTCGCCGTCGCCGTCGTCGTCGTCGTCGTCGTCGTCGTCGTCGTCGCCATGTTCGTCGTCGTCGTTGTCGCTTCAGTGGGCCCCTCGGCGCCATCGTCGCCGTCCTCCGCGACCTTGCAGACGGCCGCGCCCTCGGCGCCACCCGCGGCCTCGGCGCCAGGCCGCTTGCCCAGGCTGCGCTGGCACAGGCGCCCCAGGAGAGCCTCGAGGCTTCCGCATTGAGCCGCAATGGCCGCCCCTCATGGCACTCCCACGCGCCAGGGTTTGGCCCTGACGACAGACGTCCCGCCCTCTGATCTCCTCGTCTTGTCTCTCCCCCACCTCCCCGTCCCCCTCCTCGTCTCCACCCCATCCTTCCTTCCCCCCTCCTCATCCTGCTCTTCCTCGTCATCCTCGCCTTCCTCGTCCTCCTCGTCGTCGTCCTCCTCCTCTTCCCCATCGTCGTCGTCCTCTTCCTCCATAATTGGGCTAGCGCGTGGTAGCCCGGGGGGCACTCGTACTCCCTGGGAGAAAGATATGCCCGACATTACCCGGCCCGCCCGACAATAAAAGGAACATAATTTCCGCAGCGACTGGGAGGTTTCAGGACCAGTCCCACTCGCCGCCAGGATTAAAAAGGGATTCTGAAGCTAACAGCGTTCCGAGATTCGTGGGCCCCCCCGCCTCCCCAACGCTGATCTTGGGGGGGCTGGGGGGGGGCGTTGACAGATGAGCGCGGCGTGAGCGCCCGCTGCTGTGTGCCGCCGCCTGCCTCCTCCCCTCCGCTCGGGCCGGGCGAAAGGGGGGGATGGGGAAAGGGGGGGTTACGAAATTTGCTGCATGCAGCTGGTTTCGGCCTCACCGAGGGGCCCATTCCTCAAGACATAGCCGCCTCCAGCGCCGGGAGGCGCCGGGAAAATGAACTACGTGAGCTGATTCTCAACCCCCCCCCTTTGCTATCCCCCCCTTTCGCCCGACCCGATCCGCGATTTCGGGGCGGGGGGGCGGGACGAGGGACGCGGCGGCGGGCGTGGCCGCGGCGGCGGGGGGAGCCCCCCGCGCCCGCGCGCCCAGGGCCCCGGCGGCTTCCCGAACCCGTGGCTCTGCCCCACCGACGCGATGAGCGGAGGCGCGCCGCCCACGCAGTGGGCGAGGAGCTGAGGTGTGCGGGCCGCGAGCCCGTGGAAGCTCGGGCTGGACGAAAGGGGGGGATTGGGAAAGGGGGGGGTGCGAAATTTGCTGCATGCAGCTGGTTTCGGCCCCACCGAGGGGCCCATTCCTCGATACATAGCCGCCTCTGGCGCGGGGAGGCGCCGGGAAAATCAGCTATTTGAGCTGATTCTCAAACCCACACTTTGCTATCCCCCCCTTTCGCCCGACCCGAGAAGCGGGGCGTTTTGTTTTCGGAGAAGCCCCGTGCGGGGCGCAGCCGCCGCGTTCCAGAACCCAGACCCAGACAGCCAGTTGGGCGTCACTGAACCGCGGGTGCGACACGGGAGAGGGGGGGGCACGAGAAGGTGTACGTTTCGTGCCTTTGAAAGCCCCTTTGAGGCCCTAAGAGGTAGTTGTTGGGCAGCTTTCGCTGCCCCCCCCATTGTCGCCCAATCCAATCGGGATTTAATGGGGCGAGGGTTAATGCAAACGGGGATCAAGAGACGCTGAGCGCAGGATTTTGCAGGATTCTGGCAGGCTCGACCGGCCCAGGTTTGCATTGACCCGGGTCAGCAGATCCCTGACCCCAGAAATCGAACCGACGCTTTTTCATCGTTTTCGGACCAGACCTCGGGGCCGTCAAAAAATGACTCGGGATGAGAAATTGACCTTGAGGACGTGGTCGAGAGGTCGGGGGCCCGTGTCCGAGCACTCGAAACCCAGGATGTCTGGGGACCGCGAGGGCGCGGATTCGGATAATCAGGTTCGACGGCCCTTGCGCCCCGGGGCCGAAGAAGAGAACAAACGCAGATAAAAACTGTCAGAGATCTGTGAGTATTTTTTGGATCTGCGCTGGGGATTCCTGGCGGCGCGTCGAACGCCGCCCATGGCACTCTCCGCGCGCCACGGAAGGGGGGTGGCCCAGCGCTGATCCAGGAAATCCGCGCAGAATATGATATGTTTTATGCATTCATACGTTCGGGGAGCACCAGATACCTGCCTGGAAACCTCCGGGTTGCAAGTTTCAGGTTGGGGCAATTCAAATGAGTAGGGAAGATAGCTGATACAACGACCGACATCAGTTCTCGATCATTTTGAACAGGATCGGATTCGCTGTTCGCGACCGCGGAGGTTGTCCATTGAAGACAAAAACTGCCCACCCAACAGCGTCCACTTTCGGTTTTGGACAACGTTTGTTGTTGGACATCGTACCCGAATAGGGCGTCCAAACGAGTAGGTGTTCCCCCTCTTCCCTTTTCTAATTGCACATCGGCATGCTCTCGCTCAGACTGGACCCAGCCAGAGACCCTCCGGCCGGAGGACTGGAGGACCCCCCCAGACGGCACCAGGCGCCACCTTTTTTCTTTGTGGCATTGCGGAGGAGGGAGAGGAGGAGGAGGAGGAGGAGGAGGAGGAGGAGGAGGAGGAGGAGGAGGAGGAGGAGGGCCGGATGGCCTACCCCGTCCGAGGACGTGGGGCTTCGCCGGCGGAAGCCCATCGGCGATGTATCGCCGCTTCCAGGTCACTGCTCCCCACCCCCGAGCCGTCCCCCGTCGCTGCCCCACGCGAGCGGGGTGGGCATCGGCCTCCAGGGGCCCTGGCCGTGCCCCGGGGCCGCCACGGAACGTCGATGATCTCCAGGGCGCGTGTTGGCCCAGCGCTGCCCCTGTCCAGCTGCACTGGCAGCGCGCAGCCTGCGGCGGCCTCCGATGCTCCGCTTGCGCCGTCATGCAGGGTCTCGGCGGACGGGCGAACCCTGGCGCTGACGCGAGACCGACCCCTGGACGAGAAGCCAGCCCTGGGAAGAGGGTCGGGACTGCTTGCCCCCCGCAGTGAGCAGGCCGAGGCATCGGATCTCTGGGCGTCGAGGCTCCAGGTGTCTCATGCATTTCGTCGTCGGGGGGAGCGTTCAGGCCTAGAGGGGGCTCCAGCACCATCCCAGCAAGGGGTTTTGAACGGATTTCGGAGGAGGAGGAGGAGGAGGAGGAGGAGGAGGAGGTGAAGGAGGGGGAGGATTGAGGGTACCATTGCTCCCGCAGCTGCGAATTCGAGTGAGGGGGGCGGTGATGTCGTCAGCAGTCTGCGAGACTCTGAAGAACGCCCGCTGCAGCCGCCGATTTTGTTCTCATCAAAGCAACGTGGGTGGATCGCGGGGGGGTCGCGGGCGGGTCGCGAGGGGGGTCGCAGGTTGCTCGCGGGCGGGTCACGGGTCAGTCGCGGGCGGGTCGTGGGCGAGGACGACACTCACAACAGACAAGCAGCAAACAAACAACAGCGTGCATCCTCACCGCAGAAGCTCACTTCAGACACCCACCCAGGGATGATGTAAGACCGTTCGCCCCCCCCCACGCCCCCCTCATCGGTGGCGGGGTGCTGGGGCAGGGTTCGCATGTGGCCTCCTATCTCACTCACTCTGATATCTAAGACGCCTACGGCGAATCACCGCCGCCCCCTGCCTTCTGTAAAAACGCCCGTGCGGCCAATCGTTGGGCCAAGGATGGCCAAGCTGTCGAGCTGTGTGTTCCCCCGGCCGCTGTGGAGCCCATTGGGAGAACATTGAGGGAAGCTCGAGGAAGGAGGAGGAGAGGGAGGAGAAGGAGCAGGAGCAGGAGGAGGATGGGGAGGAGGATGAGGAGGAAGAGTGGGTTTCTTAGGACCACCGTGAGGCCTCTTGGGGTTCTGAGGCCCCTTAAGGGCCTCGGGGGGCCTCTGTGGGGCCCCTTGGCCATCGGAGGCCGCCATGGGCCCCGCGTGAGGGCCGTCTTGGAGGTCTCCGGCGTTGTCTTGGGGCCGTCTTGGGTGCCCTCTTGGGCTGCTTTGGGGCCCTTTCGGGCCGCCTTGCGGGCCTCTTGGGGGCTTCTTTGGGCCTTCTTGGGGCAATCTTGGGGACCGATGGCCAGTCTTGGACCTAAAAGCGAGAAAGCTAATGTCTTGACCAAGCTCAGGTAAATCGGCAATGTTGGCCTCTTGGAGCCCTCTTGGGCGTCTGAGCGGCCTCTTGGGGGCCGTCTTGGGCGTCTAAGCCCGAAAAGGCGACAACGGTAAGATCATTGAACACACACTTACGCGCGCACACACACACAGACACACGCACACACGCACACACGCACACACGCACACACGCACACACGCACACACGCACACACGCACACACGCACACACGCACACACGCACACACGCACACACGCACACACGCACACACGCACACACGCACACACGCACACACGCACACGCACACACGCACACACACACGCACACACGCACACACGCACACACGCACACACGCACACACACACACACACACACACACACACACACACACACACACACACACACACACACACACACGCACACGCACACGCACACGCACACGCACACGCACACGCACACACACACAAGGAACATCAAGGACGTTAGCTTCCTGGAGGTCCTGTGGGGGATCTCTTGGGGCGTCTAAGAGGCCTCTTGGCCTTTAGAGGCCGCCTTGGGCCCTCCCTCGGCAGTTGTGGGTCCTTCTCCGGAGGAAGGAGAGGCCTCATTGGAGCCTGTTCGGACACTCTTTGGGCCTCCTGGAAGTTTCTGGGGGACCTCTTGGACGCCTCTTGGAGGTGTTTTGTTCCTGTGGGAGGTCTTTGGAGGCCTTTGGAGGCTCTTTGGTAGGCTATTTGGCCGTCTGAGGTCGTTCCTGGCCTGTCTGGCGCCGTTGGAAGCCTTCTTGAGCGCCTCTCTGGGCCGACTCGGGGCTTCTGTTGGAGGCTACCTTGGGCGTCTTGGAAGTCTCCTGGGCCGTCTCGGGGCCCTCTTGGGGCCGTTTGGGGGACCTCTTGGGGCGTCAGGTGGCCATCTCGGAAGCCTCTTGGGCGATCTTGGTGGCCTTTGGGGCCGTCGTGGGCCTTCGGGAAGCCGAAAATTAGCAAACGCCAACATCTAAAACACCAACGGAACACCGTACACCGGCATCAATGATTTTGGCTTCTTCGGGCCGCCTTCTGGCCGTCTTGGAGACCTCGTGCGCCGTCTTGGGCGATCTTGAGTCCTTCTTGGGCCATCTTGGGGGCATATCGGCCTCTCTTGGAGACATGTTGATCTTATCTTGGGCCATCTTCAGCCACCTTGGTGGTCTTGGAGATCGTCGTGGCTGTTTTGGAGGCGACCTTTGGGCCGTCTGGAGCGGGATGCTCGACGACCTGGGAAGTTGTTGGGTCTTTTCGTGGCGGAACGCCGACGGGAGACACCTGTTCTGCGCCCCTCGGTTGGCTGGCGGATTTGGCCAAATTCCCTTGGGAACCTTTGACAGGGCCAAATTCGACCTCACATCTTGCACGCCGTGCACCCCCTGTGGCAAGCCACGGGGGGGCGTCTGTTTACGGAAAGGGCGCCTACTGTGCAATCTTCTGGTCGGAAGACATGAAACAAGGGTGGGTTCGTTCGGGACCCCCCCGAATGGGATTTGGTAGCCCAAACAGGGAGTTTGTTCAGGACACCCCCCCGTAAATGCTGAGATGTCTTGGGATAGCACTCAGAAAACCTCAAGACGGCCTAACATAACCCAATACGGTGGCTCTAAGACGCCCTACGTCACACCTGAAATGGCAGTTTTGCTAGGGACATCCGCACACGCATGAGATGATGCCGACATCGCTCTCTCCAGACATGGCGATTTCGGTAAGGACAGCTTCACAAACATGAGATGTTGCCGACGTCACTCTTGGTCAACATGGCGCTTTCGTAATGGGCATCCTCACGACAATGAAATGTAGTCATCGCTCTTGCCCAACATGGCGATTTCGGCAGGGTCATCCTCACACATATGAGATGTTGTCGGCATCGTCTTGGTATCGCTCTTGCCCCAAATGATGATATGTCGTCGACGCCGTCTTGATTTCGCTCCAAGACAGCCCACGAGGCTCCCAAACGGACTCCAAGACCTGCTCAAGAGGGCCCGAAGACGGCCCGAGAGTCTCCCAAGACTTCCAAAGAGGGCCTCCGTAGCCGCCCTGGCTCGAGCCTGGGCCGCCCAGACACAGGCCCTGCCGGGCGCATTCGACGACCGCTGCTCGTATGCCCCGGCGCCGGCCGGTCCCCGAGGGATGCACCGCGCGCTGGCGCGGGGTGCTGCGCGGCCGGGCAAGCCCGTCAGTTACGAGAGTATGCACATGGCAGTGATTAGCTCAATCGGGGACACCGCTGCAAGCTTGGGCCTCATCAGCACCCTCGTATTCAGCATCGCTGTCTCCACCGTGCTTTCCATGGAGACGGTCGCAGAGGAGGGCATGATGATGTGCTTGTGTGTTGCAATATCTACCAGCATGTACACAACAACGCATTCACTGCTCAAGTACTACTAGACAGCGAACGCCAAGGGGCTTGGCGAGTACATCGCCAACAAAGAGCATGAAGGTAGCACGCCAGAGCCCTCCGCGAATTTGTGCCGGGCTGCAGAGCAGAGCGACTTGGCAGGAGTGTCAGGTACGAATATTGACGAGGAGAGGGCGCTGACAATAAGTTCACACGGGGAACTCATGGTGATCCTTCTTCAAGGGTTCGCCTCGTTCAATGCTATGCGCCAGGGTGCCAGAAACGCCACGTGGGCCTCCATCTCTTCGATATGCTTTGCCACGCTCTTCAAGGTTGGCTTCCAGGATGATGATGCAGGACAGGTGCCTCATTGCTGGAGCGCGGCTCTTTTTTTCGGCGGGTGGTTGTTCTTGTCGGGGGGGGGTCTATGCATCGTTCGGTACGCAAACGTCCTTAGACATCAAGGTGTCTGCTGCTGTGTCCGCAATAGGCCTGGCCATTAGCTCTTGCGCGGCGTACTTTTACGATCCCGATTTCGACATGCCGAGGCTCGTGTGCTCACTTGCTTTAGTATGTGGCATCGCCGGAATGGTGAAAACTGTGAAGGTTTACCGTGAACTGTTCATCCCTTTGATCAAAGAGCATGCGACAGTGTATTGAGGAAGACGTTCGTATTGAGTCCGCCGATCGTCTGAAAGATACCAGCGCTCGCAAGTTGCCCGTGATTGCGTTGTTGGTTCTTTTTAATAAAGTTCCACCGCAGTTTTTGAACGGTCGCCAAAGATGAATGCTCCACAACACATTCCCTCCCCTGGCGGGCCTCTACACTCCTCACGTCCTGTCCATTTTAATTATGATCCTCGCGGCAGTATGGTTGCACTCTCGGGCCAGAAGCGACATCGGCCAGACCTTGCGACGCCAAAGTTGCCCCAGTGGCGACTCCAAGCTGTTCCTTTTCAAGCCCTTCAAACAAAAAAAAAGAGACTGCCAAAGAGGGCCCCACGATCCCCCGAGAATGCGACAAGGGCGAGGAACAGAGAGGATGCAATAGGAAGAACAACGGTCACGCCAGCGAACTCGCGCGATCACAAAGTAGGTTGCGTTGTTTGTCCCCGTGTCAAGCAGGTGACGGAAAGAGCGAGGTATGAGCGAGAGACGTTTCGCAGGGGGCGAAGCCCGTATGGGGAGGGGGTCTGGGGGAGGGGGCTAGCGGGGGAACAAAAGTCTAGTTGCCCTCGCGCCTCGTTGTTGTTGGAGTGAAGCGGCTCCCCGGCGGCTCCCATGGTTTGTTGCTTTTTTTTTTTTCTGGTGAACCGGCCAGAGGGCCTCAAGACGGCCCAAGAGGGTCGCAAAACGGCTTCAGAGGGCCCCAAGACGGCCCCAAGAGAGCTTCAGATGGCCTCCAGACGGTCCAAGAGAGTCTCGAGACAGCTCCAGAGGCCCTCAAGAGGGCCCCCGAGAGGGCCTCAGGAGGCCAAACACATTGATTGCCCCACGGTTTTTGCAGGTTTTTCGGGTTCTCCCCCTGTCAGTCCCAGAAGGGCCCCAGACGGTCCAAGGAGGCCCCAAAGATCGTCCCCAGACGGCCCCAGAGGCAGCATAGTGGGGGCTTCTTGGGGCCCCCTTGGGGCCTCCTGGGGGTCTCTTCGGGACCTCCAGGGGGCATCCCGGGGGCCTCTTGGAGCCTTTGGGAGGTCTCGGGGATGATCTTGGGCCAGAGTCTCGACGTGTCCGTTGCGTTCGTCCTCGTGGGCCTCGCATGGGATGCGCTATGAGCTCATGGCCTGCGAAGCTGTCGACACAAATATTTCGGGTTTCCATAGTGAAACCAGCACATAGTGAGATTGCTCGTTCATGTGTATGTATATATATATATATCTATATATATATATATATATTTACACACCGAAGCCGCTAGATCGATACGTCGCAAATCCGATCCTACGCCAGTCATAAACCGAAAGCTGCACCCATCCCACCGCCCCACATCCCCTTACCACCCGAAGTGTGATCTCACCTGTGTAGGTGCCGTCACCATGACCGAGAGGGGTCATCAGGGAAGCGGCTCCTTGGTCCCAGACCAGGAATGGCATGGCCAGGATCGGTGTATGTGTCTCGCTGGCGCCCTCCTGAAGCCTCGCCGCCTCCTTGACATGTTGGTTTGGGGAGCCTTCCTGGGGCCCCACTGACGGATCCGCTCGACTCCGCTTCGATTTTAGTTCGATTGTATCTTGATTCAGGTTCGACGCAAGGCGATGGACGTTCGACGCAGCATCCACGCGTGCCCGGACTGCTGGTCCCAATACACATGGGTGCTCACGGGGAGCACCCTGCGGGCCGAGGCCAGGTGCTCCTGGCAAGGCCACTCAACCTTCCACCCCATCGTCCGCTTCTCTCCCGTCCCGCCCTCCCTCCCCTCGGCTTCCCCTCTGCTCCGCTCCCAGTCCCCTCCCACGCCCTCCAGTGTGTACACACACGTGTGTAGACACGCGCATGTGCGCACTCCACATACGTCGACTTGTGTATGTGTGCATGTTTATATATTTATACACATATACATATCTGTACGTGTGTATGCGCAGTTAGACGCTCGAGAAAGATGTTCGGAACGCGCACCTGACCTCCTCCTCCTCCTCCCCCCTTCTCCTCCTCCCTCATCCCCGGCCTCCTCGAGGGCCGGGGCGCGGTCGCCGCCAGGCTCCAGGCACCAGCAGCAGCTGCAGCAGCAGGGCCAGCAGCATGCGGAGCAGGCACGCCAGTCGCAGGAGCACCAGCAGATGGACGAGCAGCTGAAGGACCGAGCGAGGAGGAGGAGGAGGAGAAGGAGGAGGAGGAGGAGGAGCGAGGAAGAGGAGCGAGGAGGAGGAGGAGGACGACGACGACTCACCGCCTGTCCCGAGACCTCTCCCGCGGAGCACGGGGACATGAGCAACAACCTTCGGAGGTCCGCGTGCGGATCTCTTGGAACGGCGCTGGGCCTCCCTTCCTGGCGCTCGCCGGGGAAATCTGGGCACGGACCTCCACACGCACACACACACACACACACACACACACACAAACACACACACACACACACACGCACACGCACACACACACACACACACAAGAAGCCGCACCTAGACGGCGCATCGCCAGAAAAGATGGTAGTACAGGATGCCAAGGGAAATTCTTGCAGAAGACATCTCCGGGCTGAGTACATGCGCACCGAAACGCAAGCACTGCGTAGTGCAGCTGTGGGCGGCGGTGGGGTTTGAAATCGTGTAGTCTTCGATGCTGGGTTTCGGCCCCCTGGTGGGTTCGCTCCATCCGCCGCACCCTGTCGAGGGCAGTCATAGTCAACCCGCATAGGAAGGATGGGCAGCCTTCCCAAGGGTACCCTAGCATCCTTTCCTCCTCGGTCCATTCTTGGCCGCTTTCGTTCGCCGCTCCCCGCTCGAAAGCATTCGAAATGGGCGCCCAAGGCCCTTGCATCCTTATCGCGCATCGTTATTGTATTGAAATAATGTAGTTTTAGATGCAGGGTTTCGGCCCCCTGGTGAGTTCGGTCCGTCTGCCGCACCTTGTCGAGGGCAGCTGTTTGTTGGCCGAGCGCGTTCCCCCAGAGGGTGCTTGCATCCAGTGGCGCCTTCCCTTGTCCTTGGCGCGGGGGTTTCGCGCCCAGGGCCCCTTCGGGTTGGTTGAGCCGCCCGTGGGGCCTCGTGGGCGCCCCGTGCACCACGCAGCCTGCACCAGGCATATCGCATCACAACAGTAGTGGCCGTTGTTTGATTCCCTGTTTTGCCGATCGGCGCGGGCCCTCGCACCCCCCCCTCCCCCCGCCCCCACGGAGTAGATCGTGGCTGTTTCTGGCGCTTGTTTCGAGCAGGTGGAGTCACTCCCCATCGAACGCTCTGCTGCAAACAGTGGCACTGAGCAGAGGTCTGGAGCCAGACCCCCCTTCCGCCCAAGGCCGAAATGCGGAATCAGAAAACGTTCACCAACATGGTTGTCTGCACCACGTACAGTGTGGGGGGGGGCGCGCATCGAGAATCCAGATGCTTTTTGGCAGGGTATCCTGGGCTTCTTCGCTCTGCGAGTTGCGCGGGGACTTCCCGCAGCCGTGGAAGAAGTTGTTGTGTCCCTGCAGCACACATAATTACTGCACCATGCGCAGAATGCATAATGCCTCACATGGCATGCAACGCCTTGCTTGCGCCACATAGCTTGCACCACTTAGCCTGCACCGCATGGATTGCACTACGTAGATCGACTCATATAGACTTCCCCTATGCCCAAAACGCACGACACACGTAGCGCATCTACTGCGCTAGCCTGGCTCTTGGCGTCCACGCTGGCGAACATCTCTTGTCTTTTGTCTCTGGTGTTCCCGAGCGGCGCTGGGCTCCTCCCAGACGCGGCCCCCTGTTAGCCTGGACCGAGCCGAGGCCGAATGCGGGAGGAAGGGGAAGGGGGAGGAGGAGGGGGAGGGGGAGGGGGAGGGGGAGGGGAAGGAGGAGGAGGAGGAGGCGGAGAAGGAGGAGGAGGAGGTGGAGGAGGAGACGGAGGAGGAGGAGGAGGAGGAGGAGGAGGAGGAGGAGGAGGGGCCATCCTGCAAGTGGGGTAGGGGCCCTGCCCTCGAAGAGCTCCCTCGTGGCCAGGGCCGGGCGCGGCTGGACGAAGATGTTCGGAGGCGAGCTCGGGGGGATGCAGCTAAGCCGTGGCCCAGTCTTGCCCAGTGGCCCCAGCATCGGGGGCTTAACAGCCCGTAGTCGTTCTGACGAAGACCTCCCAGGAGCCGCCTCCTGACTTGGGATGTAGTCTTGGCATCGCTTGGACGGTTGTATCGCTTCCTCGGCGAGAGCCATGGAGGAGCAGTTTGGGGCATTTTCGAAACATAAGCGCATTCGGTAGCAAATCATGGGAGCTTGGTGTACCTGTTGAATTCGGTCGACTGGCGTCGATTAGCGTCTACGAGTCGATGAGATACCGCCGATTCCACGTCGGTCAGCGTCGATTCGCGTCGATTGAGCGTCCACTAACGTCGATTCGCAACAGCCAGCAAGATGGTATGGGAGGCTCCCATGAGTTGCCACCGAAGGGGGGGGGGCAGTGAGAAGGGGCGGGTCTTCTGAGAGCTTTGCTTACCCTTCCCCGAAGAGACAGAGTTCTGCTCCAGAAAGCTGGTCGGCTTCTGAGAAGCCCCCGCCGCCTTCGGAGAAGGCCTTCTCCTCCTCACTTCCCCCCTCGCTCGCCGTTAAGATCAGGGGGGCCATGAAAACCAGGGGTTGGAGGGAGACTGGTCCTGAGACCTTTCGCCGTATGCGGTGTCCCTGGAGCCCTTCCTGGGCCCCAGGATGCGAGAGCCAGGCTCGGGGGAAGCCCCAGGGTGCAGGATCCGTTCCCTTCGGGACCCCGTCCCCTCGTGGCGAAGGAATTGGGGAAGGACAGGGTCGGGCGGGGCTGTGACGAGGATACGTACGCTCCAGAGCGTCCAGATCTCAGGAATCCTTGATGCATCCTCACCCAATGTGATCCTCGCCCTGGCTTCGTCGTAAACTGGGGAAGGACAGGGAGGTGGAGGGAGGATGAGGAGGAGGAGGAGGAGGAGGAGGAGGAGGAGGAGGAGGAGGAGGAAAGGGCGGAGGAGGAGGAGGAGGAGGAGGAGGAGGAGGAGGAGGAGGAGTTGGAGGAGGAGGAGGAGGAGGAGGAGGAGGATCGTACCGCCTCGACGCGGCGTCGGCTCCTGCGCGGGCAGCCAGGGCCGAGCACCCTCCAGAAGACCCTTGCGGGCCCCGGGGCCCACAGAGCGCGGCCCTCCGGCACCGAGCCCGTGCGGGGGACCGGGCCCGGCCTCCCGGGGGCCTGCGAGACCCGGGATCGCTCAAGATTGAGCGGCTCACGGTTCGCGCCGTGCCAGGATCCAGGGCCTGGGCCGTCGCGGCATCGGCGTGCCGTGCGGAAAGACGTAGGTGTGCCTCTCCTGCGAGGAGGAGGTGGAGGAGGAGGAGGAGGAGGAGGAGGAGGAATAATAATAGAAGGAGGAGGAGGAGGAGGAGGAGGAGGAGAGGAATAATACAAGAAGGAGCAGGATGAAGAATAGAAGGAGGAGGAGGAGGGGAGGAGGAGGAGAGGAATAATAGAAGGAGGAGGAGGAGGGGGAGGGGTGGAGTAGGTGGAGGAGCAAGAGGAGGAGGAGGAGGAGGAGGAGGAGGAGGGAGCAGCAGGAGGAGGAGGAGGAGGGGGAAGAGGAGGACGAGGGGAGGTCCGATGGGATTCAAGGCATGCCTCTCTTTGAGGAGGATATGGAGATGGACGTGGAGGAGGTGGAAGACGAGGAGAAGGAGGAGTAGTTCGGAGGGGGAGGGGGTGGAGGAGGTGGAGGAGGAGGAAGAGGAGGAGGAGGGGAGGAGGAGGAGTATGAGGAGGAGGAGGAGGAGGAGGAGGAGGAGGAGGAGGAGCAGGAGGATGAGGAGGAGGAGGAGGAGGGGCAGGAGGGGGAAGAGGAGGATGAGGGGAGATCCGATGGGATTCAAGGTATGCTTCTCTTTGAGAAGGATATGGTGATGGACGTGGAGGAGGTGGACGACGAGGAGAAGGAGGAGTAGTTCGGAGGGGGAGGGGGTGGAGGAGGTGGAGGAGGAGGAAGAGGAGGAGGAGGGGGAAGAGGAGGATGAGGGGCGATTCGATGGGATTCAGCCGCGCTCAACAGAGCAGGGGGAGAGAGGAAGAGAGAGCGCTGAAGTACGGGCAGAGGGTCTGTTCCAGGCCCGCGGGGTGCAAGCGTTCGCCAGGCCTATTTCGGGTGCACGGGTGGGGAAGCTGCCCTTCCCGTTAGCGCGGTCTGTGAGGACCAGGATTGGACAGCAGCAGCGGGAAGTGGTGGCAAGGGACAGAGGAAGAGAGAGGAGGGACACGCGGCAGAGGGGGACGAGGACGAGAATGAGGAGGAGGAGGAAGACGAGGAAGAGAAGTCCTCCTCCTTTCGCCTCTCCCCCACGGTCCACCGTGGCCAGCTCTCTCAGGAGGAGGCGGGGTTACGAAGAGAGAGGAGGGGAGGGGAGCACCGAACAGAAGGGCGAGGAGGAGGACGAGGAGGAGGACGAGGAGGAGGACGACGAAGGAGGACGACGAAGGAGGGCGAGGAGGAGGAAGAGGAGGAGGAGGAGGAGAAGGAGTCCAAGGAGGAGGAGGTGGAGGACGAGCCCTCTCCCTCCGCTGTGGTCCACCCTGGCCAGCTCTTCGAATCGCGCCCGGCCGCGGCCACGAGAGGCCTCCCGCAGGCCCAGGAGGGCGAGGAGCTCCCCCAAAAGCCTCGCTCTTCGATTCTCTGCCGCTCATGGGCCTTTCTCCCACCAACATCACCACCACTAGCACAGGCAGGACCGGGGAGAAGGGATGACGGGGAGGCCCTCCTTCCTCCTCCTCCTCCTCCTCCTCCTCCTCCTCCTCCTCCTCCTCCTCCCTCTCCTGCCTACTAGTGGTGGTGAACAAATGGCCAATCAGTCTTGATCCCGTTTTTTGCAGACGGCTATGAGGCACGAGGCGCAAAATCCATCCGCTGAGGTATGCCACACGTACTGCATGGAGCATTCTAGTTGGCGGCGAGCCCCGGGGGGGAAACCAGAGGCAGCTGGCCTGCTCAGAGGGCTCGGACTGCAACAGGCCTTTGAGAAGTGCTCTAAGCCTTCTCCGAAGGCACATCATCAAGGGCAGGAAAAAACGCCCCTACCCTGGTTTACGAGGCGCTGTGCGCTGAAACTCCTGTGGGCTGACAGGGCAAACCCTGCGTGATGTGCCGCGCCCTGGCGGCTCCAGGCTCTGGGGGTCCCCAGGAGGTTTACCGATCACGCACCTGTAACCCGGGGTAGGGCCGTTTTTCCATCCCTCCGTGCAACACGTTCCAGAAGGCCGCGGAGGACTTCGGAGGGCTTCTCAGAAGGGGCTCCGCCGCCTCCCGAGGAGGCCTGACCCTCTGCCTTCCCCCCCGGGGACGCGGCGCCGATCCTAGAGCACTAACCCAAATCAGACGCCCCATCCCAGAGACGCGGGGGCCAAGACGAAACGCAGACACCTCGAGCCTTCGGGGAGGGAGATTCTGGGGTAGGGTTTTGCCAGGGCGACGACGACGAGCGCAAAACATACCCCGAAATCTTTGGCCGATCTTCGAATCCTCGGCGAATCCGCGATTTTGGGATTGGGGATGTGTTTCTTCGTGGTCACTAGAGCCAGATTTGTGTCAGACGCTCTGCTCTGCATCGGGCGCCTCGGCCCCCAGCCCGCGGCGTCTGCCTAGGTGCGCCGCGCGGGTCGCGGCCCTCCTCAAAACCCCGACGCCCCCCTGGAGCTTCGACGCGGGCCCCTGCTGCGGCCCGACCGGCGGCCTCGGCGGAGAGTCCCCTGAGGCCTCGCCGAGGCCGCGGGAGGAGCCAGAAGCGGTCGGAGGAGCCGCGGCCTGGAGGGCTCCGATCCTCGGGGGGGGGCGGCGCCACCGCCACCGCCAGGGGGGCCGGCTTCAGCGAAGAGGTCCGCTCTGCCTCGCCGAGCTGGGGGTGCAAGGGGGGGGGGGCCTCAAGCGAGGGGGGGGGGGGCGCACCACCAGGGGGTCCCCCCTGGCTCCTCCCGCTGGTGACTGCGCGAGGCTCGCGCGGCGCTGGCGTGCACGCGACGCCGGCGAAGGCGTTCAAGGTTGAATTCCGCATGATAGAACGACGGTGACGCCACAGGACCCGGCGGAATTCAACCTTGAACGATCAGAGCCGCGATCGGTTCGAGGTTGAACGATCGACGCGGTATCAGAAACCTTCGTGCTCGAGCCGACGCCGCAAGAACCTGCTGTGCGTTCATGATTCCTCTCTCTCGCTCTGCAGGGGCAATTTGCCGTGGACCGTGTATACTTCGCGGTACGCCATCCCCTCCCTGCTTTCGTCGGCGAGCGAGGGGGGGGGAACTGAGAAAAAGAACGGCCTTCTCGGAAGGCGGCGGGACTTCTCGGAGGCCCTCGCGCTTTCCGAACAGCAGTCTGCGTCTCCGGGCAAGGCTCTGAAAACTGCTCGGAAGGCCACGGGGGCTTCCGAGCCGTCTGAGAAGGCCCGCCCCGTCTCGCCTCACTTCCCCCCCCCCGTCTCGCCTCACGTCCGCCCCGGCGCGCCGCCGATACCCAGCACCGATCAGGAGGGGAAAAAACACACAGACACAATGAATTGTCGATTCCCCAGAAAATGTAAGAAAATATGGGAAGTGGGGGGGAAGACAGAAACCCAGAAAAGATGGGAAAATATGGGGAATATCTTGTGTGTCCCGGGTGTCCTGGGGCCCCTTCAGACTAGCCTGAGATCTTGGCGCCGCGTTGCGCCACGGCGGGCGATTGTCTGCCCCGTGTCGGGCCGCGGGGCCTCCACAGATCGCTCCAGCTCGGAGACTGCCGCAGCACGGTGGGGTCCAGGGCTCTGGCCCTGCTGCTCTCGCGACGTGGCATGCTGCTGCAGCGTCGCATCTCCAGGTGCGTGGACAGAGAAGCAGGCGTGCTGTCGCCAGTGGGCCCCTCGGCACACGGGGCGGGGCTGACGCGGCGAACGCGTGTTGCCGATGAGCGGCCAGAAGGACGGGAGGGGGAGGGAGTAGGGGGATAGGGGGGGAGGAGGGCTCAGCCGTGCCAGGCACGGAGCACTGGCACCCTCGCCGATGTTGCGGGATTGGTTGAGCAAACAGTGAAGCCTTGCAGGAGGAGCTGCGCCAGCACCAGGAGCAGCAGCACCAGCTGATGAACCAGCAGCAGCAGCTGCAGAGGCGCACCAGTCAGCTGCAGCAGCTCCTCGGGATGCAGCGCCCGGACCCCCACAGCGTCGAGGAGATCCCGCTTCTCGGCGGCCAGCGAGGGGGGGGTTCAAGTGAGAAGGGGCAGGCCTTCTCAGAAGGCTCGGAAGTCCCCTGGCCTTCTGAGCGGCTTTCAGGGCCTTTCCCGAAGACGCAGACTGCTGTTCGGAAGGCGCGAGGGCCTCCGAGAAGTCCCGCCGCCTTCTGAGAAGGCCTTCTGCTTCTCAGTGCCCCCCCTCGCTCGCCGACGAAAGCAGGGAGGGGATCCTTCCCCTCAGACACGGAGAACTTCCCAGAAGGCGCGAGGGCCTCTGAGGAGGCCCGCCGCCTCCTCAGAGGCCCCCCCGTCGCCCGCTACCGATCTCCTCCCCCTCGTCCTCCTCCTCCCGAAGCAGCTGGCGTCGTGCTCTCTGATTGACGCGGGCGGCCCTTCCTCGATGCCTCGGGAGAGTTCCACGAAGGGGCTCCGTGGGGAGCCTTTTTCTCCGAGTGGCACCCTCGGGCCTAAACGAGGCAGGGAGGCGTCCTGTGCCTCGCAAGCCCTGTGCGAATGAATGCAGGCGATCGACTAGACATTGACACGCCCCTGCGTTCTCCGATCGCGTCACCGTCGCTGAAGTGGTTGCCGCCTGCCGTGGCGAGTGTACCAGCTTGCGGGTGAGATGGGTATAGGTTTCACGCTCATGACCGCTTAAGACAGAGCTATGCAATTTTCATGCGTGGTTCAGGATAGGAAACGTGACAGTTTCTGATGATGGCCACGTTAAGTGGTCATGGAAGTGATTCAATGGGTCTTCGGGGTTCTGGTAGGTTTCGGCAGTGCATTTCTAAAGATCGCTTGTCATATTGCTGTTGCTGCTGAGTTCTGGACAATGTGTGGTTACGTCGTGAGAGATTTGCAAATTTTCCAGCGCCGACTCGCCGCTGTTGGGGAACATCGGGTTTCGAATGGCCAACCCGCTCCCGCGGGCGAGATGGTGCACACTAGCACTATGGTGTGCACAGGCGTTGTGTAGCACATCTGATGCTGCAGCAGCAGTTGTAATGTCCGAGGTTGAAGGTTTGGGAACGGAAGTGCCCCCAACCGGGAAATCGGTTTCGGTTTCGGTTTGTGTCGCGCGTGCGGGCGAGGCGAAGCTGCGCGAGTTCCATCCTTAGTTGAGGCCATCTATTGCCAAAAGGGCCGGCCCCAGAGCGCCGGGCGTGGCCGCCGTTGTCCCGGCGGTTGTCCCGGCGGTTGTCCCGATGTCTGTGGTTGTCCCGGTAGTTGTCCCGATGGTTGTCCCGATGGTTGCCCAGATGGTTGTCTCGATGGTTGTCCCGGTGGTTGTCCCGATGGTTGTCCCGATGGTTGTCCTGATGGTTGTCCCAATGATTGTCACGACGGCTGTCCCGATGGTTGATAGATCGATACATAGATAGATATTGTTAGACGTTGTCCCGATGGTTGTCCCGAATGTTGTCCCGATGGTTGGTAGAAAGATTTTAGGAAAACGATTGACTCTATATATGTATGTTTATATATACATAAATATATATACATCGATTCTCATATATATATATAGATAGCCCATACATAGATAGGCGTCTATATAGACAGGGGGATAGCTGTATGTACATACACATCGTCAGTTGTGTACATATACGTGAGTACATTTATAGATGCATACACATTTTGATTGATGTATGGATAGAGTGATCGACTGATAGACAGATACGTAGATACGGCTGTCCTACATAGATAACTAGATAGAGAGGTCGATCGATAGATGGGCAGATGGGCGTGACACATCAAAATTGAAGGAACCACCACCAAACCCAGAGCCATCGCAAATCGATCGCCTCCCACTTCTCCCTCCAACCTTCTAATCACCCGTAGGGTGGTCCTATTGGTACAAAGGCTTTGTGGTACAAAACTCCCATAACTTACGCAATGTGGGGTACACAGGCGTTTTGGTGTACAGAAGCAGCGTGGTGTAAACACGCACGTTGGTGCACAGGTGCTTGTTGCGCACACAGGCACGATTGTGCTCTCAAGACCTGTGATGTACACACGCGCTGTAGTGTGCACCGGCATCGTGTTGCACAGGCAACGTGGTGAACGTTGGCATTGTTGTTACATCATTCCACTGGTGAATCGATGTACTGGTGTTTCCAGGCGCTGTGATGCACGCATGCGTTGTGTGTGTGTGTGTTCACAGGGATTGTAGTGTACCCTGGAGATCCCTCCGCAGGCATGTTGCGGCGCTCAATGGCGCTACATCCGCTGCTTGTCACTACTCTCAGCAAGATCTACGCTGCGCCGAGGCATTACCCCTGGCAGATCCTTACTTTCATTAAGGGGCAACGTGGAGGGATAGGCTCAGAGGGAGTGCATTGACCCGCAAGGTCCCAGTGATCGCCGCAGGGGCCTGATAGTCCACCCCGCCCAGGAGAGTGAGAATTGGCTATTGAGGGCCTATTGCCGATCAATTTGCGATGTATCACCGATTCCAGATAGATGTTTCCCCCCCCCTGAGCCGCTGCCCCCTGATATTCCCCTTCGTACATGTTAGTTCTAGCTGTCCCAGACTGCGCTGGTTCGAAACGTGACGTTGCCAGGGGGAGAGCCAGCAACGGCCGCCATCGCAGATTGTTTTGAACGGTTGTCCTGTTTCTCGCGGCAGCGACGCCACCATCGTGGGCGTACGAATCCCATGGGCCCACGACATTCTTGAGGGAAACAACCTCCTTTTGAACCCCTTGTCGAACCCTCCAGATTTCGGCCTCTGGAGGCCCGTGCCCGTTCAGCAGACCGTCAAAGCGATGCAGGATAACAGAAATGGCTTCAGGAGGAGGGCGAGGTTTCCGGGCCCGATGTTGGGACAATCGGGACCTCGAAAACCTGGGTCTTCCTGAAGGATCGAGGATCGAGGATGGTGTTTGAGCGTGGTCTGTCCTCTCTCGGCCGATCCAAGAATCCGCGCGGACCTCCCGACAGCTTCAATGTGTGCAGATGTTTCTTCTGTTTTGGCCTCCAGAGACCTCCAGAGAGCTCTGGAGACCAGCCTCCTCTTCCCCCGCCCTCCTTCCGCCCCTTCTCTTTCCTCCTAAGATTCATTTCTTGGGAGGCTCAAAGTAAGTAGTGGCGTTGGCATACCCGCGGCCGAAAGCTGGCTTAATCCGACACTGTCCCGCTCAATGCCGCGCAATCCCGCTTCATCCGCCTTCACCGGGTTTCATGCCTGACCTTGATCTGGACTAATTTGGCTTACTGTTCCTTGAATAGGGCTGGATAACCGTCAACCGTCCTGACGACAACCTCCCAGGAGTTGCCTCCTAACTCCTCTTCCCCCATCCGTCCTTCCTCCTCTCTCACTCCTCCTGCGGCAGCCTGAGGCCCTCAGCAAGCCCGAGAAGGCTTGCAGGCAAGACACGCCGCAGAAACCACCTCCCCCCCCTTTGAGGCCATTTCCTTTTCACCTGGTGAACCGTCATGCTCGTGATCATTCTCCTGTCCGCGGCGAGCGAGCTGATAAAGTGAGAGGGGGCGGGCCTTCTCGGAAGGCTCGGAAGTCCCCCGGCCTTCTGAGAAGTTCTCCAAGCCATCAGACCGGCAACGCCTCTCAGCAGGCGCGAGCGCGTGGGCTCCTGAGAAGTCCCGCGGCCTTCTGAGCAGGGAGGAGGAGGAGGAGGAGGAGGAGGAGGAGGAGGAGGCCTTCTCCTTCTCACCCCCCCCCCCCTCGCTCGCCGCCGACCCTGCTCCTCGCCCTCGCGCTGCCGCCTCTGCCCTGCCCGTCGCCGGCCCCGCCGCGCCCCCCCGGCCTGCGCGCGGCGTCGCCTCCGAGGCCGCGCCCCCCCTCAGGGCCGGGCTTCTGTCCGGCAGCCCGGGGGCCTCCTCGCGGCGGCGGCGGGCGAGGCGCGGCGGTGCCGCCCCGTGCGGCGTCGAGCGCGGCCCTCCTCCTCGGGCGCTGCGGCCCTCCTCGAGCGCGGCCCTCCTCCCTCGAGCGCGGCCCTCCTCCCTCGAGCGCGGCCCTCCTCCTCGAGCGCGGCGAGCACGGCCCTCCTCCTCGAGCGCGGCCCTGCTCCCTCGAGCGCGGCCCTCCCCCCTTGGCATCGCTGTGACGTGTGTTTTCTTTTACCCCCGGCGAGGACCATACGAATTATCGAGAGGAGCAGCCCGGGTGATCTCGCGAAGAAAAAATAGAAACGCACGAGGCCGAGACAGACACGGGGGAGGCCAATCGGATCGGAGCGCGATGGCAAGTTGGGGGGGGGGCAGATGAACGTGAAGTTCTCGCTCACCTTGGGTGCACTCAGGAGGGGGAACAAAAACACACAGACACAATGAATCGTCGATTCCCACGAAAATATGGGAAAATATGGGAAGTGGGGGGGAAGACAGAATCCCAGAAAATAGAGGAAACTATGGGGAATATTTTTATTTGTGTGTACTCATTTGTGTGTCCTGGGGTCCCTTTATGCACGAGAGGTGCACGTTTCTTCGCCGCAGCGCCTTTGTTCCGCCCGCGCGAGCGCGGCCCCGCGTGGCCACGCGCGTCGAGGAGATGACGCTGCGGCACCAGCAGCAGCAGCTGCAGGCCGGCCCGAGGGTCAGAGGAGGGGCCGATCGTCGACTACAGGTAAGAGGGACCCCTCGCCTGAGTGACCTCTGGTGCGGGCCCGTTGGGGCCCCCCGATCGCCGAACACGGTGCGATGGCAGCGGCCTGCGCGCTCAGGTTTGGCCCCCCTCGCGCCCTCCCTGAAGCCGCGCACCAAGGGGTCACTCTTCCCCAGGTGGGACGTCTCCGGGCGGTTTCTCGGGCCGTCTTGGGGGCCTCTAGGACCGCCGGGAGGTAATCTGGAGCGTCTCGGAGCGATCTCTCGACGACTCGTAGCCTTCGTGAGCCGTCCATGAGGTCTTTGGGGACCCTCTTGGTCCATTTTGGGGCCCTTTCGAGGCCGTCCTGCGGCTCTCCTGGGCCGTTGCGGTTGTTTCTGGGGCGTTCGCGGGGCCCTCACTGGCCGTCTTGGAGCCTTTTGGGGGGCCTCTTGGATTTATCTGGGGTCGCTCTTGGAGGCTTCTTGGGCCGTTGTGGGCCTCGTGAAAGGCCAAGAGGCGAGTGTGCATAAAATGTATGATTTGTCCGTAGGGAATGTGGCGATGTTTGTTTCTGGAGGGCGTCTTGATGGCTTTTTGGGCCGTCTTGGGGGCTATTGGGGCCGTCTGGAGGCAATCGTCGGCGTCGTGGAACGATCCCTCGTCGACTCGTAGCTTTCTTGGACTGTTCCGGGAGCCTTTTGGATCTCCTTGGCTCTTTTTGGGGCCCTTTAAGGTTCCAAGTGTGCGGCCGGCACCTTTACCCCCCACCCGACCCCCTCCAAACCGGCCGACCGGGCTCCCAGGGGAGGCGTTTGGGGAGGGGGAAGCATCTCACACGCCGTGGCCCCAGGGTGTCGGCGGACCTCGGGACCCGAGCCCAAGCGCAACCGCCTGGCGCGAACAACATTGCAACGCTTGGAGCTCAGGGGAGGAGCAGGAGGAGGACGAGGGCATGGACGCAAACGTGTCCGCAGCTTCAAGGTTTGCGAGGAGGAGGAGGAGGAGGAGGAGGAGGAGGAGGAGGAGCAGCACGAGGAGCGGGGAGGAGGAGCTGTGCTTTCATTTCATGGGATGGTCTGTGCATGGCGCCCGTGGAGACCCTGTCACAGGGTCTTCGTCCTGTCAGGTTTTTCGTGGTTTTCGTTGTCGAAGTGCTGCCTCAGGGTCACGGGTACTCTCGGGGGCATCGTGGAGCCCCGTAGGGGCCTTTTGGGTGCCTCGTGGCGCTCTTTCGGGTTTTCGGGTGAGGTGCTCGAATTCTCCATGCGGGTTTCCCTTCGGGCCCTCTTCGTGGGGCCGTCCTGGGTCCTTCCATGGTGGATTCGGGAGCCCTCTTGGGGCCCTTTTGGCCCGTCTAGGAGCCTTCTTGGAGGCATATGGGGTTTCCTTGGGTTGATTTGGGGGTCTTTTTGGGCTGCAGTGAGCCGCGTGACAGGCCAAGAAGCGAAAGTGCTAAACTTGGGCGTTTTCCTTAACGGGCCGAGGCTTGCTTCTGGGTGCCTCTTGGGACGCTTCCTGGTGGCGTGTCGGGGCGCGCAGGGGGCTTCTGGGGCCGTCCGGCGGCAATGTCGGACGTCTTGGAGCGATCTCCTCACGAGTCGTAGCCCTTTGGGGCCGTCGGGAGAGCCCCTTGGGGCCGTCCTGGGGCCCTCCTCGGCGGCTGCGGGGGCCCTCTTGGGGACCTTTTTTGGGGCGTCTGGGAACCCTCTTGGAGGCACATGGGGTTCCCTTGAATTGATTTTGGGGCTTCTTGGGTTGCTGTGGCCCTCGTGAAAGGCCAAGAAGCGAATGTGCTAAACTTAGACGTCTCTCTTAGGGAACAGGCCGATGTTTGCTTGTGGAGGACCTCTTGGGCCGCGTCCTGGTGGCGTGCTGGGGCGTACAAGGAAGGGGTCTCAGGGGCCGCGTGACAGACCAAGTGGCGGACGTGTTGGAAATATGTGCTTTCCATCGAGAAGGGACGGTTGTTGCTTCTGGAAGGCTTCTTTGGACGCCTATGGGTAGCGTCTTGAGGCGTCTTGGGGGCCTGTAGGACCACCGGGAGGCAATGTAGGACGATTTGGGGCACAGTTGAACGACTTGGGCCGACCATAAGGCCTTTGAAGAACCCTCGTGCCCCGTCTTGGGGCCCTCTTGGGGCCGTCCTGCGGCTCTCCAGGGCCGTTGCTATGGTTTCTGGGGCCTTCGTGGGGCGCCCAGAGGCCGTCTTGGAACCTCCTTGAAAGCCTGTGGGGCTGTAGGGGGTCGATGTTGGATGCTTCTTGGGCCGTTGTAGGCCTCGTGGAAGCTTAAGAGGCGACTGTGCTGAAAATGTACGCTTTCCCTCGGGAATGGGACGATTTGTGCTTCTGGAGGCCTTCGTGGAGCGCACCGTCGTAGTTTTTTCAAACATCTCGGGTCCTACAGGGAATCGTCTGCAGGCAAGCTGGGGCGGTTTGGACCGAATCGTCCCCTTCGTGGGCCGTCCAGAAGGCCTTTGGGGACCCTCTTGGCCTGTTGTGGGGCTCTCGTGGGGCCGTCCTGCGACTGTCCTGGGCCGTTGCTGTGGTTTCTGAGGCCTTCGTGGTGCGCCCGGAAGCCGTCGTGGAGCCTTTTTGAAAGCCATTTGGAGGTTTATTGGGCCGTTGTAGGCTTCGTGGAAGCCCAAGAGGCGAATGTACGGAAAATGTATGTTCCATCGGGAGTGGGACGATTTTTGCTTCTGGAGGCCTTCTTGGAGCGCCTCGTGGACGCGTTTCTAAACGTCTTGGGGGCCTACAGGGCCGTCTGGAGGCAGTCTTGGGCTGTTTGGACTGGATCGTCCCCCGCGTGGGCCGTCTGGGCAGCCTTTAGGGTCCCTGTTGACCCGTTTTGGAGCCCTCTTGGGACCGTCCGTCCTGCGGTTCTCCCGGGCCGTTGTTATGGTTTCTGGAGCCTTCGTGGATCGCTTGGAAGCCGTCGTGTAGCCTTTTTGGGAGCCTCTTGGGCTGCGGAGGGTCGAACTTGGAGGTTCACTGGGCCGTTGTAGGCCTCGTGGAAGCCCAAGAGGCGAATGTGCTGAAAATGTACGCTTTCCCTCGGGAATGGGACGACTTGTGCTTCTGAAGGGCCCTCGCGGGGCGCTCTCGGAGCCCCCCGGAATGGCCGCGGGGTCTGACACGTCCTCCAGCGCCGCCAGATCGCAGAGATCCCCGAGCTGTCCCCGTCCGATGTCGTCCCTGCTCTGGCTCTGTCTCGCTGCCGGGCGAGCCCTGGGGAGGCTCTGAGCCACCAGCAGAGCCACCATTCCCGGCAGCAGCGGCAGCACCTGCAGCACGAGCTGCAGGAGAGCTCGTTCTCGTCGCAGGCCGCGGCGTCGGCCCGTCCTGGTCTCTTGCTCGCTTGCGCGGAGGGGGCGGGGAGGAAGAGGGGCGGGGAGGGGATGCTGTTCGATTGCGCATTGGCGGCACTGGCGGCAAGGATGCGGGCAGCCGTTGATGGAAAAGCAGCAGGTCTAGGCCTCCTAGATGGGGTCGGAGTAGATGGGGTCGGAGGATCGCGCCACATGGCCGATGCTCGCCGATGCGGCTCGATGTGCAGCCTGATTTGCTTGACGTCGACGTCGCCGATGCATCGGCGATGTCGACGATGCCTCGCCGATGCATCGCCGGTGCATCGCCGATGCATCGTCGATGTATCGCCGATGTATTGGCGATGCGGCGCGATCCTCCGACCCCATCTACTCTTATGTTCTCCTCGTCTTCAGAGACTTAGGAAACCAGTGAAATCCACTAAGTAGGTTAAAAATAGATTTAGGGCAGAATTTCAGCAAATCTTGAAAATAGGCCAAAAATGCAACTTGAACAGACTATCGGGCGCCGTTAAATTTAACCAAGTGGCAACGGCTGTCTGAAATTAAATGGTTGCGCGGACTCAATACATGCCCGTATGTTTTGGGGGCGTTGTGCGCGACACGTGACTTCCCTCTCCTCGGTGTCGGAGGCGGGGCCGCGCATGCGCGCGCAAGGCCTTCGCTAGGAAGAAGCGCGCGACAATATAGATTCTTCACGCTTCGCGTATCCCCACCAGTCCATCCCAAAGCAGCCGCCAGGCGAGTTGCCTTGATGAGGGAGGTGTAGCAGCAAGCAAGCCAAAAGTGAACCACATCCGTCTTGGAGGCCCCCTGGGGTCGTCTCTGGCCGTCTTGGGCCCGCCTGGGGCTATCTTGGGCCGTCTTGGGTGCATCTTGGGCCGTCTTGGAGACATATTGGCGCCATCTTGCGCTCTCTTGGGGCCATTTTGGCCGTCTTGGAGGTCATCTTGGGCGCCTTGGAGGCCACTTGAGCCGTATTTGGTCCCTCTTAGAGGGCCGTCTTGGGGGCCTCTGGGGCCGTTCTGGAGCCGTCTTGGGGCCTCTTGGAGCGGTCTTGGGGCGCTTTTGGGGGCTTCTTGGGAGCCCTGGAGCGCCCCTTGGGGGCCATCTTGGAGGCGGTCGGTCCCAAGAGGGTGGCCCTCGATTTCCGCACCCCCCCCATCGGGGGCAACGATCCTTGTGAGGGGTGTCCAAAAATAACCCTCCCATGGTCCGAACAAAGGACGCTCTAACTAGCCGCGAACCCCCCCGCCCAGGTCCAGGGGAGGAGGTAAGGGGAAAGGTAAACCCCTCCCCGAAGGGGAAGAGGGATTGTTGGAAGAGAGAAGAGGCATCTCGTTAGACCACCTGTCTCCCAAAGGGCTGGCGGGACATCTTGTTGTGCCACATTTACGTGCCATGGTATGGGAGGGTGGGTGGAAATGGGCGTGGCTTGCGGACCCGCTCGAGTTGGCAAGCTTGGTTATGTTTCTATGAGCCCCGCTTCCCCTGGCTCTCTGGTTCGTTCCACCGATCATATGCTCGAATTGCGCTTTCGGTCATATGTGGGTATGATTTGCGCGCATGCCGTGAAGACGTCTTCGGTGAAGGACCCCCCAATGAAAACGCACCGCCATCTATCCGTGTAGTTCTTGCACTAGTGACATTGTTGGTCGTGGAACCAAAGGGTGTATCAAAGCGAGAGCCGTGCAGTGCAAAGGGAACCGCCCTCCATTGGCACAGCTGTTGCACGAGGAACGTTCAGGGGGCGTCGCCCCCGCCCGATGTGTCCCTGGGGCCCGAGACGGGCATGCAGGAGGGGGGATGCATGCAACCATTCTGGCTCAAATCATTTACCTTCAACGGTTAATTCACATATGCACTGGGCGGCCCTCGTCCAATCGGACCTGATAGATGCTGAGGGGGAGATACCCGTGAGCGCCTGGGCCAGAGACATCGAGGCAGACGTTGCAGATGCAGGCTCGGTAGACTCAGGTGCCGAGCTGAGCAGTTGGGTGCGTGCGATCGAGGCCGACCTCGAAGATGATGCAGGGAGCTCAGACGAGGTGTCAGATGAGGCAGCCCACATCGCCGACAATCTCAGCATCGTTGGTGCGGGGGCGCCTGGAGGAGGCCCCGTTGTGATTCAGTGTGCCGAGGCTTCCCGCTGGACCCTGTCCGCTGCCCACCAAGAGCTACGACGTCCCACTGAGGTTGTCGCGGCGCGCGCTGTTGAGTCCGTGGCGCGGCTCCTGAAGTGCGGCAGGTTCAACCGATGCAAACGCCAGCCGAGACAACATAGGGATCTCTCGAACATGATAAGCACAATAGCGTATTCCTCGTCGTTCCTGTCGCTGCAGTCCCTGGGCGAGGTCCACCACGTCGACCCGCAACTTGCAAAGTCGGTGCTCATCAGATTCTATTCGGCCATGCACCTGTTGATGTGGAGGCAGGGCTTGCAGATGATGCACACTCTTTGCGCGAAGGTTCGCGCATCTGGAGGTGAGTTGATTGTCATATCCGAGTACGCTTCTTACGATGAGACGCCCCTCCCAGTGAAGGTGAAGTCCGACGAGGCCGTCGTCGTCGACATCAGCGGTGCCGCAGCGGTGCTTGCCGGAGCGGGCGGCGGCGCCGCAGCGGTCGCACAGCAGTCAGAGGAGCCGAAGGCCAAGATCTTGCAGACCGAGTTCAGGATTTCGATGTTAGTGAAAGTTCAGGGCACCTACCAGGAGGTCAATCTTGAGTTTCCGTGCCCGCTGCAAGTCATGGACAGGGCGACGGGCGAGACGTACGCGCATTGCCTTGATTTCAGCCAGAAGGGCCTCGACGCCGTCGCTGCACTGTTCCAGCGCCGCGATCGCCACGTGATGAGTGACTCCGACACGGCCGTGCTGCGGGGAGAGAGGTGCCTCGCGACGAAGCGCCCCGACACGGCCGTGCTGCAGGGCTTCTGCAGGTTGCATCGCATCTCGTCCATCGCGACCAACGGGATTGACAAAATGTTGAAAGATGACGTGACAGGGATCATCAACATTGCGTTGTCGTTGAAAGCGTCAGGTGCCATGAGGGTGTTTCGCCGCTCCCTGAGGGCCATCATTCGTGACCGACTCGTAGTGCTCAGGGGTTCGCCTGGTCCCGTGGCAGACCTGCGCAGGGCCAAGCTGCTCGACACGTTCTGCCCGATCCACCCTGGAGACAGCAAAGCTTTGATCGACAGGGCACTCGTGGAGCTCTGCGCCAATGGCAATTGGGACAATCATGATGTGTTCGAGGTATACGTGGCGGGCCCATACGACAGAGATGAGATAATTCATTACATATGCGTGCACTTTGTGAAGGTCGTGGCTGGGAAATGCTTCCGCCCGTACCCTAGGTCGCGGTGGACGGGCGCCAGGGGAACTCTTGAGAGGCTGGGGCTGCTCATGAATATACATGGTTTGTTCGAGGCCGCACACGTTCATTTCTGCAAGAGCTACAACGTCACGGTGCGTCAGGTGCACCAAGAGCCTGTGCTGCCCATCCGCGACGCGGACGGTGCGCAGGACGCCGAGAGCCACCTGCCCGTGGACCACAAGAGCGACGCCAACGCCCAGTTCATCCAGCAGAGGAAGGGCTACATGAAGGTGGGGCTGGGGTTCGCTATTTGCAAGGCGTCGCCGACGAAGTTAGTTGTCATGACCATGACCGTTGAACCGCAACAAGCTTTCATGCAATCCGCCCTTGAACTGGCTGGCAAGGCGTGGGATAGGAAGCAGAATGCACGCCACGCCTTCGCGTTGCAAGAGAACTTAGGCCACGTGCAGAGGAGATTCAGAGTGCAGGAGGTTTACGACACAGTGCAGGAAAGGAAGTATCACGATGACGTGATTGCCCTGATGAATGGAACTGGTGATTGCTGGGAGGCATTGCCGTTAGCCAGTCGTACCTCGAGTACTCGGTGCTTGTCGTTTCGCGTGTTGGCGTTCGGACTGGGTCATACTTATGCGAAGCTGATGAAGCCGAGCGTGAACTTCCCCAATCGTACGTATCGGCTTGCGTTCGAGAGCATTCAACTGAATGACATGTCACACATGGGCCGAATGTTGGGAATGTACCCGACGTGCCGCCTCGACCCATGGACCCTGAAGGTTGTTGAGCATTACGGCGGCGACATCTACTCTGAGCGCGCCGTCATCGACGTTGCCACCAGGGCAATGCACGAGGAAGTGGACAATGCGAGACGGGAGGCTACTCATGCGAGCATCCGTCGGGACGTGCTCAAGGCGTCGTGCCAGTCGCCGACGATCGAGTTCCCATTGGCCAGCGGCCGCTTCGTGGACAGGAAGAGCAAACAGATCTGCGACTGTGGGCTCCAACGGGCGCAGCACGGCGACAATGAGTGCGACTATGCTGACGGAGAGGGGGGACCGCATCCGAAGAGGGTCAAGAGGCCGAGCGGCGGTGCATGCAGGGCCTATCTGAGCGAATCGCTTCGGGGCGTCCCCAGGGCGGAGCAGGACATGAAGGCGTTGCACGCCAAGTACAGGGCCCAAACGCCCGCTGAACGGCAGAAGTATGTGAGTGACGGTGCTGCTGCCACGCACGCAGCCCGAGATGGCATTTCAACGCCTTTCGGCTTCACTGCCCGCGACGCTCACAGGGCTCACCAGCGCGGCGACCACCGCCGAGAAGTACAGGAGCTCAAGGACGGCGTTGTCAACCGCATGCGGGCGCAAGTGCTTGAAGGACAACAGCCGCATCATTCTTCGTCTTCTTCCGCGTTGGCCCTCCCCGTGGCGAACACGTTCGATGCCATTGCAGAGGGCATCGCAGCGGCCCGCAAGGCGAAGCTCCTGGCCGACAAGGAGCGCGTCTTGGAGCAGCGTACCTACGACACGGCACTGGCAAGGCACACTGGAGAATCGGATGTCTCGACGGCGGCCTTGAGAACAGTTGCTGGCACTTGCGCGTCGGGCGTGGCAGACACGATTTCCTGGGAGCACCGACCGCCATTGTCTTCGACAGTTCAGTCT